ATTTGGCCTGGAGAAGAGAAGGTTAGCATGGGAGCTAACTGCAGACTAACACTGCTGAAAAAGGGATTGTGAATTAAGATGCATCCAAGCTTTTCCTGCAAGTGCACAGTGAACAGACAAGAGGCAATGCTGCAAACCATGGAAGATCCGTTTCAACACATTATTTACCATGAGAGTGCTGCAGCCCTGGGCCAGGCTGCCTAGAGGGGTGGTGGAATCAACCTGCTCTAGGCAGCCCAGTTGGGAACAGATCACCTCCAGGGCTCCCTTCCAGCCTCAAGTGCTCTGTGATTCTGATCTTAGCTGTTGATTTTAACATTCTGTCCAGTTTCAGCCACCCAGCTTCAATCATATTCACAGGAAGATGTTTCCTTTCATGTGGTAGCACCTCTGACCCTTGTTTATCATCTAACATCCTAGAGAAATTGTAAAATATGACAATAAAAGTTCTAATTAAAATTCTAACCCAACTGAAAAATTGTATTTATTTTGTTCATGGTTTCTGGGTATCATTTACATATCTGGAGTTGACTTATGATTGCATTTATATGTCATAGGATATGTCACTATTTGTTTTAAGCTTTCTTGATCATCTTAATCTGCATCCTTAGACTATTACCTCTCTGGGGCAGTGGAGAACAGGAGAACCCTGCAACCTTTTCTTTCCACAGTATTGGACAAGGTGCCACAAATCAGAACCTTCCCCACTAGCCAGAGAGGCTCATTTGATTTTCAGAAACTCTTCCTTTCGCACTCACTCTGCCCACAGGAGACTTTCTGATAAAATCTGGGTATTTCCTTTCCTTCAGCTATTTCTAAACCTTGCTAGATGCATGAAGTGAAGATAGCTGTGATTTTTTGATTCCAATATGAATCACTGCCCCAGATAGTCCCTATGACCAACTTCACGGTGTTTTGGGGAGCTCCAGCTCCAGGCACAGCTTGCAGGGTGCCAGGAACTGCACCCACTGCAGTTGGCAGAGATGCAGAGTAGCCTGCAAATAAAAGGGAAAGGGCTGGAGACAGTCATCTGTGGGGGCTGAGAAGAATGTAGGAAGTGGAAGTGTCACTAGGTGGATCCTCATTGAGAAATGGAGTGAAGAAAAATTTGGCCACAGTGAGCAGTGCTGTGCTGGGTCTTTGTCAGAAGCAAGTGGTGGACTTGCAGCACCCACTCGCAGAGACAGCTTACTGCCAACCTGCTGTTTGTAAATATGTGTCAGCAACAGCAGGTTTTAAAGATTAAAGCTGTCAAGGGAAACCTAATGCTGAGTTTCCAAGACTTTATGGGATTGAATCCTCATCTTTAACACTACTCAGGATGAACATAGTTCTTGCCTAATTCTTAGAGACTTTCCTGTATGAGTCATTGTTCACAAGAGAATAGCAGCTTTATACACAGATGGTTGCAGAACAGAGACACCATTGAGAGGAAAACACTGAGGCATCTATGTCCTACAGATACAGGCATACACATATACACAGATCAACAAATTCATCCACAGAAAGCAGTCAGTCCTGCTCAGTGTGCTCAGGCAGAATCTCTGCTCTTTCATGACATAAGAAATCCCTGATGGAATTCAAGTAATGAGCAATTCATGCTGAAGAGGGAAGCTTAGTGTCAGTGAAATATCAATGTCCAAACTAGCACACCCAGAGGGAGTTTGGCTGGAGGACTGCTTTGCTGGACTGTTCTTCTTAGCTGGCCAGAAGCCCGGTTCTCCATGGGATCAAAAGAAAAGATCAGATGCTCTGGGACCCAGCAAGCTGTTGTAGATGATCTGGCAAGTCCAGACCACACCATTAAGACTGATGCTAAGCCAGAGGGAAGGAGGTTTGAAGGAAGTTTAGGTGCTTTCATCACAGTCCTCTAGGCAATTTTTCCTGCTTTTCCAATGCCTCTCCATGTGATCTTGGACACCTTAAAGTAGGTGATTCATGCAGGCTCATGCCCACATCTCCAGATGCAGGTAACTTTCAGTTCAGTGGCTCAGGTTTGGACGTCAGTGCCACTATAACAGTGGAAAGGTCACCGTGGGTGGGTTCTGCCTGTGACTGTGCACCAGCATTGCCTCAGAAGAAACAGGCAAAGGACAGGCTTGCAAATATAGTGCCTGCACTGGAAACTTGCTACAGAATTTTATGGATACCAAAAGTTTGCATGGGCTCAAAAATATAATTGCCCTAAGTAATGGCAATGAGCTATTAAATACATGATACTACCCCTAACTTGGGAAGACCTGAGCTATCATTTGCTGGGAATCGAGAGGCTATTCCGCAGAAATACTTCTTTGCACCTGTGCTTTTCCCTAGACTTCTGCTATTAGATAATAAACCAGATAGACTGATGTCCTGATCCAGAACTGTCTTATGTTGTTGTATAACACTTAAAAGTTGAGACCCAAATGACCACAGCTTGCCTGTTACTGATACTGAAAGTGTATGATTTATAGATAATGCCTTTCTTCCTTTCCATGACTTTTCCACTTAGCATGAAATAGTTAAACATTCAATAAATAACATTGTGTGACCTAGTGCTTATGGAGCTGTAGAAAGAGAAGGCTGCTGCTTGGAGCTGCAGAGAAGGCAAGGCAACACCATTTCAAGCAAGGGGTTTGTGACAGCTGGCTGCTGTTGACACCTAACTCTAAGGGAAAGACTCAGAATTGTGATTCACATTTGTATGACCAAACATGTGCCTGTCATGTAACAGGGTGGGACCTGCCCTGTCTCTCAATGGGAAACATGTTGACTGGAAGCAGAATGATGTTATCGGAACAGTTTGTTGTTCTCAGCCTGCTTCCAAGAAAGGAAGTGAATGGAAGCAGTCAGCTTTCCAGGTGAATTATCCTGGCAGGCAAATCCAGTTTAGTCTCAGGTGAATCATCACAAACTGTTTGTTCACATAATATTACTGTCCATTTATAGACTCAGACTATGTTTGTTCATGTCTGACTCTAAAATAGTAGGTACAGCTCTGAGCACTGTTAACAACAAAGATGACTAAACCTACCCTGGAACATCACTAAGTTTTACAATGGCCATAATAAGGCAGGACACTGCACATCTGATCTTATGAAAATAATTCTGAAAAGAATTGACCTTGTACAAGAGGAGTTCCAAGGTCACTGGAGCCACAAGAAACACTGATAAAGGCAGAAATCAAAGGTAAAGCCATTCTGTATCATGAAGTGCATTTTTTAATTGTGTTTGAATCACATATTTGGTCATATGAGCATGACTCATAACTCTGAGTCCTCTTCTTGGAATGTTTGAGGTCCTGGATGCCTAAATTTCCAACTGTGATACTCAAGAATATCTGGCTTAGGAAATCCCTAAACTGCAGCCTGGTGGACGATGGAAGAGCACTGCTATGTGTTGTCCTGCTCTTTCACTCCATCCTATGCATTCTTTTTGAGTTTCTGCCAGAAAGAAGACTGTAGACTAGATGAAATATTGTTCTGAGGTCCTGTATCTGTTCTTATATCGCGGCTGTTCAAAGCACTGAGAATGACCCCTTCCATCAAAAGCTATGGATTTTAAGCTTTTAACAACTGGAACTATCTTTTGTGTACAGGCTCAGAGCATTTCCTCTCCAACAACAGAACTGATTTCTGCTAGTCATTTAGACTTCAAAGGTCATTTAAAGATCCAGAGCTACATGTGGTTTCTTTTTAGTCTCTTTCGGCCCTGGTTCTTGGCCTCAGGAGATCTCCTGGTGTTGCTGTGTCTTGCAAACAGGTATGGCAAATCAATTATTCATGTGAATCCCCAGTCCATCAGGACTAAAAAGCTGTCCCATGTACCTGTGCAAACCCTTTCTCGTTTTGAGCTCCGCAGGATCTTTTCAGTGAAGACAGCAGGAGTCATTTAGCTCTTTGCCATGGGCTGGACAGATTGTCAGATGTTGCTTTAAACAAACAAAACATCGACCATGTTGCTTCTACAACTGTTGGGTGTGAACTTTCTTCTGTTACTCCCAAATTGGTTTTAGGTCCCTCTTCAGGGAATATGCCTACCTATACAGGGCTTGTTTTAGTGGTGTCGTTTTAAGTTCCAGGCACAATCTGTAAAATCATGGAATAAATTCTCTCTGACTGGATGATCATAACTGGGGCTCTCTGCAGTGCTACGTGAAGTTGGTTCCTCTCATTGACAGATAGCATTTTGGTGACACTAAGGTTTGTTAAAAAGTTAGATGTCCAAGGCTGAGGTCTTCACCTTAGACTGTTTGGTGGCAGACAGGGAGAAGAAGATCCTTTCAAGGTGAGATTTATCTCACCCTAACACAGATTATGTTCGTGTGGCACTGATTTTAGCATTACTTTCTCATTGCTAAGTAGAATACCCTCCTAGAACAGACGACAGAGTGAATATGACAGTTCTGATGGCTCAGGAAATAAAATCAGGGAAATCTTGCAGCCAAAGGGATTGTTTGATCACTCACTCAGACCTGCTGAGTACTGGCCAGAGAACACCTGCATCCAGCCAAGCTGGAACAGATGACAGATAAAAAGGCTGAGACTGGAAGCTGACTAATTCATTCCAATACCTTGAAGTTGCAAATCTGCATGTTTCTGGGATGGCTTTTATATCTTCCATCTAGTGACTCTGGCTGTGATTATCTTATGCTAGATAAAAAAGCTTTTTATGCTCAGAAATAACTTTCTTCATAGACAGTAAGCATGACACCCTTTAACATCCTTTACAACAAAGACAATACATGATGCAGGAGCAAACATAGGTCTAAGCCTTTGATAAAAGCTCTCCATGCAAGGAGTAAAGTCATTTTGCAAGTGGAGGAGAAGGACCAGACATATCTCAAGAGAAACTAAGCATGTAATTATCTGCACAATGAAATAAGGATTACTTACGGGGATTACTTCAAAGTTGTGTACTTCCAGTGACAGAAAGGGATCCTCTGATATGTATGGAGCCCTTCTGTTGTAAACTGGATGGTCATACACAAGCTGTGGAATAAGAATGAAGCTAGTGCTTACCTTTGGGCTTGCCTGCTGAGAAGCTGAAGCTTGTAATTGCTTCAGGAAGTAGACAGCCCTCAGACTAAAACCCTGCTAGAGGCTTTGTCATCGAGAAAGTTAACACAAAGATGGACAGAATCTTGCAAAAATATCAGAAAGGGAGATAAAGAGAAAGCAGAACAAGTTGGGAGTATAAAAATAGCAGAGGAAGAAACCATCAGAGAACAAAGCTAAGAAAAAAAAGTATTCTGTCATCATTAACCATAAGAAAAGATGACTAAAATATATTGTTGTCCATGAAAGCTCTAAACTATATGGAGCTGTGTTCCATCACAGGGGAAGCTGGGTTTGTATATGCTGAAGAAAAATATGGGTTTTTTTGTTCCATTTCAGCTCTTGCCATTTATAAAGAGCATTGTTAGACAATACTGCTGATAGATGTACCTGGATGTGTGCCATGATACCAGGTCTGTTGCTGTTTGCCAAGCAAAGCACAGCTGGTGTGATAATAACACATAATGGATCATAGTTCAATAGTTATCAGCTTAAATGCTTAGCAAAAGGGGATGATTTTAAGCAATTTTCCACAAATTCAGAGAGCCAGAAATAGAACTGAGGAAAGTAGTCTAAGGGTTGTTGAAAGAATCCTGACAAAATCCCAGAAGGGTTCAGTTCAGATCCCTGCTTGGCCTGTCTAAACGAAGGACAGCTACATTGAAAGTCACCTCCTGAAATGTTCACGAGAAAGGCTACGTTCAAGCTACCTGACTGCTGACTTTAAAGAAAAAGGCATTGCAAATTTGTAAAACTCCATGAAAAGAGAGAGAAAAAAATACCCTAACAGTGTCCTGTGCAGCCCCAGGCCAGGAGACACACACGGTGCTACATTATGGGCACCAAAGGTGGCTGTTCTGAACTTGCTCCTGTCTACTGATTGCAAAGCAATCACGAATCAAAAGGAGAAATGGGACACCCTTCCTCCATGAAAAAAAAAGGTGGAAAAGGAACAGGGATCTTAGAACAGGCCATACAGGCGTTAGTGGTCAGAAGGGGTCTGTGAAGCTCACAGCAAAACACCACAAATTGTGCAAAAGTTGGACTGGCTCACAGAAGCACCTGCTTCTTTTCCACTGGAACAGAAGCTAGAATTATAGAATCACAGAATGGTTTGGGTTGGAAGGGTCATTAAAGCTCATCCAGTTGGAACCCCCTGCCACAGGCAGGGACACCTTCCACTAGAGCAGCTTGCTCCAAGTCCCATCCAACCTTGTTCAAGTGGCCTTGAACACTGCCAGGGATGGGGCAGCCACAGCTTCTGTGGGCACCCAGTGCCAGTGCCTCAGCACCCGCACAGGGAAGAACTTCTGCCTTATATCTAACCAGAACTTCCCCTGTTTCAGTTTAAACTTGTTTCCCCTTGTCCTGTCGCTGCAGTCCTTATAAAGAGTCCCTCTCCAGCATCCTTGTAGCTCCCTTCAAACACTGGAATCTGCTCTGAGGTCTCCACACAGCTTCTCTTCTCCAGACTGAACAGCCCAAATTTTGTCAGCCTGTCTTCATATGGGACTTGCTCCAGCTCCTGATCATCCTTGTGGCCTCCTTTGGACCTGCTCCAACAGCTCCATGTCCTTATGTTAGGGACACCAGAACTGTACACATGGACACCTGAAGCCTAAATGTGCAGAATACAAGCAGAATGTGACACAAATAACTCATGCACATGATCATAAATGCAGTGGAGTTAGTGACTGGAACATAGAGATAGTTTTGTAATGCACACAGGGACATCACACACAGTGACACAGATCTCATGCCCTCCAGAGCAGCATGTGTGAGAATACGCTGTGGCTTACATAGGTGCACACTGTATCTCAAACCTCCCCAGCTGGAGGATGTCACCAAACCATGGAGAAATGCAGAGCATGCCTATTGCTGTTGAGACATACACACACTGGGTTCAGTCAAACCACACATCCTGAGCTTCATCGAGTTGCACACATTGTGAGTTCCTGCCACTTTTATAGTGGACTGTGTCACACATTGAAATGAATTACGTGTACACATACACAAGTGCAGTCTTACACTGTACACTTGAGTCAGCCACGCACCCAGCCAGCTTCTCCTGTGGACCGACAAGGCATGCACATTGAGCTCACTGCTCACACACATGTGCACACCCGAGGGTCTCACAAATGCCCTGGAAGCAGACATGGGTTCTCCTGCTCAACTGCAGACACACAGTGCCTGGGAGGCAAGCAGCAGAGTGGGCATCAGAGGAGACCTGGACAAGTCCACTGGGTGTGACTGCTCCCATCAGTGGGGAAAAGAACCTCCGTGTCTCACTGGTGTCTGAACACAGCAGCAGGTCTGTGTCCTCCTTTGCCCTCTCCACCAACTGACTACAACACATGCAGGGTAGCAGCCTGGATACGGCTCTGGGGTACTTGTCAGGCAGATCCAGCTCCTTTTGCTTCATCCCTTCCACACACATGCTGGCACACACAGCATGAGCCACAAGTACTACTGATGGGTGCCACACATGTAGATCATGATGCAGCAGGTTGCAGAAACATGGTTGAGACCCTGGTACATGCCAGTGGTGCAGTGAGTTCACCAATCATGGATTCTTACAGGCACTCTGGAGGGAGTCTGTCATGCACTGGTGTACACAGCCACACACACAGCCAGCTTACACACACACAGCCACACACACAGCCAGCTTACACACAACCACACAGCCACACTGGTGTACACAGACACACACAGCCAGCTTACACACAAACACACAGCCACACTGGTGTACACAGCCACACACACAGCCAGCTTACACACAACCACACAGCCACACTGGTGTACACAGCCACACACACAGCCAGCTTACACACACACAGCCACACACACAGCCAGCTTACACACAACCACACACACAGCCAGCTTACACACAAACACACAGCCACACTGGTGTACACAGCCACACACACAGCCAGCTTACACACAAACACACAGCCACACACAGCCAGCTTACACACAAACACACAGCCACACACAGCCAGCTTACACACAAACACACAGCCACACACACAGCCAGCTTACACACAAACACACAGCCACACTGGTGTACACAGCCACACACACACAAACAACAGTCACACACACAGAGAGCTGGGTCTCACGATCTCACAAGGCTGTCCCATTGGCACACACAGAAGTCCATCTTCTGTAGGAGTGTCTCACCCTTTCAGGGGAGCCACAGGCACACAAACATGGTGGGACACACACAGAGCTCAGCCTCAAGGTGTGTGTGAACATGCATCCCAGTAAGTCACACTCACAGGTGAGTCACATGCACACAGGTGTCTCCTGTACAAGCAAACATACATCCACTGTCATACAAGGCTGAGTTTCATACTTGAGTTTCTCACATACTCAAGCTCACACATATGTATCCCTTAAGCGACAGACTAGGTGTATGTAGCACAGAATCCCACAGGTATGTGTGCCCTGCCTGTCAAGTACCCCTGTGCATACCAGGAGCTCTCAAGCGCTCTGTGTGTGTGTGCACATCCTCTCACACCCCCATGCACGCACAAACACACACTGTTTATCAGACAGCCCACCCTGCAGCAAGTCCAAATACATCTATGCCTGGGCTTCACACACACATCCACACCATTCTCGTACATGTACAGGCAGGCATGCATGGTATGCATTACATACGTAGGGTGGCTCAAGTGTGCACACACACCTGTGTGCACAAAGGCAGATGTGTTTTACACACACAGAGTCACACCCGTGCTGCAGAGCAAGTCAGGCCTGCACACCCAGAACAGGTTGTGCAAATATAGTGGGTGTTCATACACAAAACTCACGGAGGTGTCTCGCATACACACATGCAGGAGTGTGACACATATAACATGTCCCACACACATGGTGCATCTCTCACATACACACAGACCAGGGTGTCACATACACAGAGATGTCTCACACACATGCAATCCACACACATGCTGCAGTCAGACATGCACACGTGGAGCAAGTTGTGCACTCAGCTGAGTGTTGCAGACATATGTGCACTTGAGACTATATCACACACATTTATGTTTCATACATGCTTGGGCATGTCACATGGCATCTTTCAGGCAAGATAGATTTCACATGCTTGGGTCTGTGTCAAGGATGCCACACAGTGTCTCAGACATGCAGAGATGTCTCACACATACACAAGTACAGGCGGCTCTGAAGGTGCACGCATTGTCTCAGACACACGGAATCACACAGGCAGCTCTTCCAGGCACACACGGCGGGTCACACCCTGTCTCTCACACGCATGGGTGTTGCACACCCACACGGGGGTCACACACAGCATCTCACGTGGTGCCTTTCACAGACACACGTGGGTGTCTCTGTGTCACACCGCCTCTCACACACGCGGGTACCTCCCAAACCCGCTGGTGGGTAGCATGGTCACTCAGTGCCTGTCTCCCACACTGGGTGGCTCTCACACCCTCTGTACCGCTCTCCCCGGTGTCTCACACGCACACGGTGCTTCTCGTGCACTCACGCACACGTGTCTCCCCTCAGGGTCACACACGGCCTCCCGTTGTCCCGCCGGCGCAAGTATCACACGCGGAGCTACGCACCCGACGGCCTCTTCTCATCCTCCTCCTCCTCTCCCCCGCCCTTCCTCCCCTCACCTCGCCCCTCCCCGCCCCGCCCCGGCGGTGCCCGTGGGCGCCCGGCGCCGGGGCTGCCCCGCTCCGATCCCGATCCCGATCCCGCTCCCGCCGCCCGCGCTCGGCTCCCGCCGCGCCCCCGGAGCGGAGCGGGGCGGGAGAGGGGCGCGGCCATCGCGGTCCCTCCCGCAGCCCTGCGCGGCGGCCGAGGCCGGGGCCGGAGCCGGAGCCGGGTTGGCCGCGTACCCTGGCAGGATGTCGGGGTCGCGCTGCCAGACGCTGTACCCGTTCTCCGGGGAGCGGCACCGGCAGGGCCTGCGCTTCGCGGCGGGGGAGCTGATCACGGTGCTGCAGGTGCCGGACGGCGGCTGGTGGGAAGGGCAGAAGGAGGACGGGCTGCGAGGCTGGTTCCCGGCCAGCTACGTGCAGCTCCTGGAGGTAGGAGCGGGGCCGGGGAAGCGCCAATCGGGCGGAGGGAACGGCGATGCGGGGTGGGGGGGTTGGGGCCGGTCCGGGGCGCAGCGGGGGCAGCACCCGTCCCGGAGCGCCCCGTGCTCCTCCGGCCGGGCACGGCCCTGGGCTGCCCGGCAGCGGGTGCCGCTGGTGCCGGTGGGTGCCGGCAGCGCTGTGGGAAACGCGCGGCTGCAAACCGGGGGTGCTGTCGGGGGCACACGGCGGCATCGCTCCGCCTGCCCCGGCCACCCCAGCGCTGGAGTGTGCTGGGTGTTGGTACGGGCGTGCGGCACTCGGGGAAGGAGCAGCCAGCCTGGCCCCGCTCCGGCAGCAGGAGCCTTCGGTTCCCTCAGTCTCGGTGTCAGGGTTCAGGCTGCACAGCGAGCTGCGGGCTCCTCTGGACAACAGCAGCAGAAATCAGTGGTTGAGGGGTCAGTCGTACACGTGGGCCAGATGCTGGGCAAGTTCCTCCTTTTTCTCTCTCTCCTCTCTCTTCCCACTGAACATCTTTTGGCTTCATACTGTGGAAGAAGTAACTCAGGTAGTTCCCCAGCTGGCTGGAGGTACCTTGCTGCACTGTGTGTGGCATCACCCCAGAGAGCCCCAGCAGAGGCACAGTCAGATGCCCAGACTCAAAAGCAAAATCACTGCCCAGACTCTGCCTTGTGCCTGACCTTTTGTCAGGATG